ATAAGGGTTGTCCTTTCAACGTTTTTTAGGTGCTTAGAACCATAAAAATGTGATGTTGGTCCTTTTCCCTTCTTTATACATGAGATATGAGGTTTTTGTTTGTGTATTAAGTTAGGGGTTAGTTGTTGGACCCTTTCTAGCCTTGGAAAGTCATATAGTTGGAAAATTTATGAATTAGAATGTTATTTGGAACTAGATCTGAGTTTTAGACGTGGTGTCTTAATAGATTAAGCACTTAATAGAGAAAAAGGATGTCAATCGAGTATGTTGGGCGTACCTGATAGTACGATGCGTGTACCTGGTAAAGACCCCATAATTTGGCCAAGAGTGCACTACGTTGGGTGTAGTGGATGAGTACGTTGAGCGTACTCAGTCAAAGTTGACTCCGTTGAATTTTTGACTTTTGACATTTGACCTGAATTTTGACCAAGTTTGACTTGGGGGTATTTTCATTATTTTGAGTTGTAGTTTGAATTTAGGTCACTTTTTGTTATATAGGTGACCTGTAGAGTTGACACTTGGAGCAACATTGTTTTTTGCTATCTTTTCATACTTTGAGGTGAGTTTTCTCACTATACTTGTGGGTCGAAGGCACCAATGCCGACCCATTCGGTTATGTATCCTGATATATAGGATGTTTCCATATGGTAGTGATCTGCTAGATCTGTATGGTTATCTGTTTGCTGGTTATATGTTTATTTGTGGCATATGTCGACATAGTGTGGTTGGGTTGAGGCAATACTACTCTGTGTGGAAGCCAACAAGCCCGGGAGCAAGCCAGGCGTATGTTGTGGGCTAGAAAAGAAAACCAAACTTTTGTTGTGGGCTCGGGAGCAATCCAGATATGAGTTGTGGGCTAGGAAGGAAAACCAGACTTATGTTGTGGGCTCTGGGGTAAACCAATCCAATGCATGTGGGCCCAATATGCATGCTGTTATATGTTTGTGTGGTGGTATTTTGGGGAACTCGCTAAGCTTTGGCTTATGGTTTAAGTGTTATGTTTTAGGTACTTCAGATGATCGGGGGAAAGCAAAGGCATGATCATACACATCCTTCGACGACATGTTTTGGAGATATTATGATACATTGATTTTGGAATATTTGTACTTGACATTGGTTTCTTATGAATTGGGTTTTGGTTGGAAACAATGATTTTACTTTAATTAAAAATGTAAATTTTTATTGTGATTTTTGGGATGTTACAAGTTGATATCAGAGGCCTGGTTTGAGTGAATTGGATGAGCATTCATGTGAATCTAGACTCAAACTATGGATCTGTAAAAGTTTTCAAAATAAATTCCAAAATTGTTTTCAAAATTGATTTTTTAATATTCTTTTCAAATTGGTTACAAGGATGACCGAGAAGGATGAGATGTGTACGATCAGCCTCAGCAAGAAAGTGTACCCCAAGATACCCCCACTATTATTTTTTTATGATGATTTTGATAGAATGACATGCTGTTTTATAGGCTATGGATCTTCAGGAATTGCATGTTAGAATTGCCTGAGTTATGATGTCTAGTAGCATAGGAGAATCTCTTGTATGCTAGATGGAATTGACATCATTAATGTAGTTGCCGAGTGTGTGCATCATAGTTGTACATAACTAAGATTTTATAGCCTGAGAATGTTTGATTTAGTATTATTTCGTGTTCCTTGTTTGGTTGTGGGCTTAGGGTAGAATCAAGTATTCGACTGTCTATGGAACCCAAGGTTATATATGATTAGCATACATGAGTGGCTACAGGGCTGGTGGAAGTTACATGAGTGAGTATGTGAGCAACCGGACAGATGAGGAATGATTAGCCACTATCGATAGAGTGAGTATATGATGTATGTGTATCCTAGTTGTGAGTTTGTTTTCGGGTAGTTTGTGATGATCCATTGAGACAAATACAGGTAGGTGTGGAAGGTAGTATGGGCTCATACTTCTAAAAGCACTGGACCCGTACATGCAGCAAGGAAGTCACAAACCCCAATGGTTTAGTCTCGCTGTGATGATTGTAATAGTTTGAATTGGGGAATTTCTGATATATTTTGGTTCATTTTCAGTATGGTGTTCACGAGAGGATCTGGTTCTGCAGCTGGTGGCCAGGATAGGCCAGGAATGACAAATGATGACATCCGGGAGTTGATCGCTACTAAGGTAGTTGCTGCTGTCCAGGGTGCCATTCCTAAGGTCTTTGGGTCTATTAAGACCGTTATGATCGAGTTGTTCAATAAGACGTCTGTCGTTGTGGCTGAGGCTGATGCTGCTACAGCTACCGCAACTGTTGCTACAACAGGGATTCAGGGGGGGGGGGGGGATTATTCCCGTATTAGGACTTCAGAAGCACGAAGCCCCTGGAGTTTGATGGGGTCAAGCACCTAATTTTAGCGATAAAGTGGTTGTCTGATGTGGAGGGCTGCTTCTTCACATGTTCGTGCCTGGATGACCAGAAGGTCAAGTGCGCCCTGAACCTTCTTCAGTTAGGGGCGAAGGATTGGTAAAGGTTAGCGACTAGTACTTATTCTCCTGCAAAGAAGGCTGCAGTGACTTGGGAGCAGTTGTAACACCCATAAAACTCAAGCCAATTTAAAACTTTTTAAAACATTTAAAACCATTAAGTGATTACAATTTGTTTTCAAAATAGTTTAAGCATCAGAGTATCCCCAGAATCAAATCATGAAAATATAAGGAGGTGCACGATCACGCATTCGCCTTCCCGCGATCATCAGAAGTACCTGAAACATAACCAAAAACTGTAAGCCCAAAGCTTAGTGAGTTCCCCTAAAATACCAATGCCATACCAATATAACAATATCATATAACAAATACGAAACAACATGCATATAAAGTCTACAGTAAGATTGAGTTGCCCCTACCGGGCCTGTAGTCTCACTGGCCCACTCTCAGAACCTTCAGCATGTCTGGTCCGCCCACCCGGGCCTTCAGCTTGTCTAGACCGTTCTCCGGGCCTTCGGCCTTACTGATATGCCCCTAGGGCATGCAGTTTATCGAGTCCGCCCTGGGTCTGTTGGCCTTCAGCACAAAGCAGGACTGCCTCAACCCAACCAAACACCATATGTCGACATATAAACAATCATGATCAAGTAGGCACATAATACAGGCAACAACATTCATACAACGCACTACTGTCTACTAATCCTCAAACCACATACAATCCCGCTACCAGCTAACCCCCATAAAATGCGTAACCATAAGTAACCAGAGGTGAGATAGCCACCCGAACAGATAGTGCTACTCTAGAGCCACAACCAAACAAGGAACATGCAAGAGAGCCTAGACCAAGAGTTCTCAGGCCATCCTACTTATCCACCAACAGTCCCTAAGGGCACTCCATGGATGATAACCAGCAAGCACATATAACATACAGATCTACAGATCACTAACATAGCAACCATCCTATAACCAGGATACTGATCGAACCGATCTCTAACATAACAACCATCCTATAACCAGGATACTGATCTAACCAATCACTAGCATAGCAACCATCCTATAAATAGGATACATATCATAAAGCATAATGTGCAATTAACTCGGATACAAATCCGAAAAGGGCTGGCATTGGTGCCTTAGACCCTGTTGATATAGTGAGGAGAACTCACCTGGAACTGCTGATGTCCTGCGGATGAAACTCCAGCTGCTGGTTGACAGTTTCCCAAACTGCCAACATCAAACAATACCGAATTAATAATTGGGTTCCAAGCCCAAGATCCAACTCACACTCTAAAGGCCCAATAGTCAAGTAATGGGCCAAAGCCCAAAATATGACCCAATTTTCCAAATTGGGCCCAGACCTCTACATGGTATTTCCTTAAGGCCCATCCATTAATTCTAGTCCAAACTATTGGTATACCAATGGCCCAATATCTCATAATAATCAAGGCCCAGATTATGGCGCATCTATGGCCCAATTTTCCAAATTGGGCCCAACCCCTCATATGGGCCTTATCCTAAAGCCCATCCAATTATTTTAAGTCCATTTACTTCTTCTTGGATAGACCATCAATAACCCAATCACCAAGGCCCGAAAGAAAGGCCCAACTCAAGGCTCAAGTGAAATTAGGGTTTTCACATGAAATGACGATTAGGGTTAAGTGTTTCTTACTTAACCCATTAAGGACTTAATCCATTAAGTCCAATATTACCTTAGGTTAATTTGCCAATGATTATTAATTAATATTTTAAGTTTATTAAATAATTCCCGTGCGTGTCCCGATAAATCCCCAAAATTAGGGTTTCATGATGTTAGGGTTTTCCAAACCCTAATTAGGGTTTCCAACCCACATACTAGCCCATTAGTCAAATAGTTGGGCTTTTAGGTCGATTAGGGCTTCATTAGGCCCATTAGGGTTTCACTAGGCCCATTAGGGTTTCGTTAGTTGGGCACCACCCACTACCACCTCGGGTAGTGGTGGTCAATGGCGGCTCACGGCTGCGGCCACCATCTCACGGTGGTGGTTATGATTTTAGTCCATTTTGTCCAAGCATCCCAAACGAATCAAAACACAAATAAGGCACACCGCCACCCAAAACGGCGGCTGGTGGCGGTAGGAGGCGGCAGCCACCACCTCACGGTGGTGGTTTTGAGTTTTTCTTATTATTATTCCGACAAAATTACAATTTTACAACGCAAAGTATCAATTAAACACACACACTCACTAAGATAAACATACAAACACGGTGGTACATGGTAGCAGCCACCACCTCACGGTGGTGGTGGTGGCTGTTCTCTTGGATTCCGGCCAAGCAAACACCACATGAACTTGAACAGTAGCACACTTGTACTTACGCGAAACACGAACACGACAGCCCTTCGGGGTGGTGAACGATGACCGGAGCAGTAAAGGCATTGCACAGGCGGTGGCGGTAGCGGCGAGTTGTGGCTGACGACGGGGCAGCAGAAGAAGCGAAGAGCGACATTAGGAGGCGACCATAGCAACGGTTCACAACAGCAACATCGACCTAACGTCCGGTGACGGCTTGCTTTTCAATGAAAACGGCAGCGGCGGTGGTATTAATGCAACAGTGGAGTGAGTTTGGCGGATGGAAACGAATAGGACTGAGGCACCTCACCGGAGAAATGGGGAGCGGGCGTCATGATGGCGAAGCAGCGGCGCTAATGGTGGCGATCGATCTCGACAAGGTGGTGAGGTGTCAACTGCCACCGGCGGTCAAAGGAACAGTGACACTCGTAGCCCACCTCTTCATGATGATCTTGCTATCCCGACGTGAACGGAGGTCGACGGCGGTTTCCCCTGGTGGCCTTAGCTGATCGGAAAGATGAGAAGGGAGGTGGTTGCCGGAAGGTCACATGTGGGAGGTGGCGGCTGCAAGAGAAGGTAGGTTATGGTTAGGGTTTGAGGTGGGGCGACGGGATTATATACCACCGTCCACAATTAGAACTTCCTCCATAATAACGTTTCCAGTCCCTCCTCTCATTCTTCTCAATTAAGGTCCATAAATTACCATTTCTACCCTGGCTTCAAGAATCCTTCTCAAATCAAATCCGTAGTTTACCCAACAGCCCCTCCCGCTACAAATCCTTTTTAAAATAAGTCCCGAAATTACATTTTAACCCCCGAAACTCCAATTCATGCTATTTGGCTTTTCAAAACCAACACCCCACCAATTATTATTTTATTTTGGATGTAGTAGTTTGATTTATCGAGTAATGAAACGGGATCAAAATTGACAAGAATTAAGAACACCGAGAGTAAATAAGATCTGGTTTCAGCTCATATATGCTTTCGAGATACAAATAGAGTACAGACAGACTCGTGGAAAAGTTCTATCTAGTCTAAGTATCATTCCCTATTTATAGGAAACAGAAAGCAAACAAAAAATACAAAGGACTTCGACATTACAGATTCGAAACTAACATTGCCTTTGTAAATAACATTACAAAACTTTCGACACCTTACAACTAAACTTCGGCCCTTACAATCTCCCCATTTGTAAGCAATGTCGAAATCAAGTTATCAAAACTTGAGCAGCCAAATGTAATGCTCTTCGAATCTACGCATACCAGTTCATGACCTTCTTCAACTCTGCCTTATTTCCTTCAATGTTCTTCTTACAACTGTTCAAACGCACAATTAAGTTTATATAGTGAGCAGTTGTGTATCTTTCAACATCACTTGATTGAAATAAGAACTTTTTTTGTTTTCCCTTCTTGCTCTTTCCCACGAAAACAACTCCAAAAGGCTTCACGCATATTTCACCATCAACATACGGCTTCAAATCAGCTTGACTCTTCAACACTGATTGTGGAACAGTGATTTCCTTTCCCATTGACAATGCTAATTTAACATCAGTGAATGCTAGACAATCATAGTAATTGTATATGAAAAGCTTGATATGGCCCAATCCCAGATGTAACACTTCTTTACTTGTTCCTTGGAGTTTCGAAGCATCCATGTCTTTGAGCATGTTTGCAACTTGAATCAGATCATTCAAGTTCATTAAGGGAAAATCAGCAATCGAAAAGTCAAAAGCAACATTGTTTTCCCTCACAACATGGTATCGAATATTTTGAAGCATATTTTCGAACATCACATCCTTTGTTATGCTTATCACTCAAACAATCTTCACTAGTGACCACACCTCCTCCTGATCTTTTCCCAACACAGCATGAAATCTCAGCTTCATAAGGATAAAATCATCTTTATCTTTGAATTGATCAACAATCTTGTACTGAGCAGTAAGAAACATCATTTCATTGATTGGAAAATCAAGTTGATTCATATTAGAGTTTTCGATAGAATAACTTTTCCTTGGCTTCTTCTCGAACTCATGAATTTCATTGTAAGCAACTCTAGCTTCAATATTCTCATAGCTGTGTAACTTCTTTGGATCACCTTTGTCCATTGTAGGAGGATCATTTTTAAGAAGCATCAAAATACTCTGAATTTGACGCTGCTTCTCCATCTTCGCTTCAATTTCAACTTTTTTTTCTTCCTTAGACTTTTCTATGACAACCCCTTTTCCTTTTCCTTTATCTGTTTCATTTTGTTTGGGTTTCGAAGAACTCCCTTCACCAGTAGACCCAATTACAATTCCTTTAGCAATTGGCCTTGTAGTAACTGTAGTTGCCATCACCGGTTCATCCTTCGAAAATATTGGTTTTGTTGTATGAATTTGAGTTTCAAAAACTTTTCCAACAACCTTTGTTTCTTCATTCGTTTTCTCAGAAAGATTTTCTCCTTTACCAACACCTTTCTTTTCTCCCCCTTGCACCCCTGTGATAACAGGCGGGGCATTCGTTGGTAAGAGAGTGACAAACTGAGACAATGGAGCCAACACGTTTTGAATCGCTTTCTCGAATGAACAAAACTTCTGATTTAAAAACTCAGGAGTTAAGAGAGATGATGAGCCAGACTTCGAAATAAGCTCCTTCAAGTCAACAAGCATGGTATTAAGTTTACCAAAACTAGTAACATCAGCAGTTGCTTTCTCATTAAACTGTGGAACAAAAGATTGATGTGTTTGGACAAACGTAGTAACACCAGCAACAATAATATCAACTTTCTCATGGATAGAAGAATACCTTTTATCCAACTCAGTGAGCTCTGTGGCCACACTCTCTTTCATCTCTTCAAGCTTCCGATTCACATTTTCACGAACTGTTTTTACATCTTGCACAAAAATAACATGACGTTCCTTAGTAACACGTTTCAAATCCTTGAGCTCCTCATTAAAAGTCGAAGACGTAGACTTCATTCTTGACTCATTATATCTATCCATAATATCAAGCTTGTCTTGAATTCGAGATTCTGAATCTTGTATCAACACATTCAATTTATTCAGAAGACGAAGCTCTTGTGCTTTGACCATAACATCAACTTCAATACCAGAAACATAATTCCTACCCCCTGTATCTGCTTGTGGTTGCAACAAAGAGTTAAGCTTCCTGTTGAGAATCTTGAACTGTTTCCCCGACATAAGCATATGGTCTGGAATGTTTTCTTCTTCAGAATCAAATTCTAAATCAACAAATGATCCTCCAAACCCTCCATCATCAGTATCATCATCATTTATTTGTTTGGGTGGTTCAGTAGATTGAGACGAAAATAGAGAAGTAATGGGTTGATTTATGACGAAATAAAAAGTAGGTGAATGTGTGGTGGTGGGAACAGTGGTGAAAAATGGTGGTAAAGAAGTATTGGTAGTGATGACTGTAGTTTCGAAAATACCTTGAGTAGAAACTGGATTTTCGTTGTTCGACACTCCTTCACCCATATTGACATTTACGTCCATATTAGATACATGTGTAAAAATCCCTGAGGTTCGAACCTCCTCATAAGATGATTCGGGTAACGAAACCTCGGGTGTTGTGACCAAAATCTGCTCAGGAGTTGATGCTTTTATAGATTCACCAAGAATAGTAGTTGTGTCCACTATAGAAGTTTTCACAGAGCTACTGGAAACTCCTATCTCCTCGGTATTCGACTTGACATGAGATTTCTTCTTAGATGAAACATCACCCATTGGTGTTTCAGAAACTTCTTCCTCTTCCATAGAATCTTCACGAAGAATCAACTTTCTCTTCTTACTTTTCTTGGAAATATGCTTAGCAACATCCTCAGCCCTTCGCTTCTTTGAGGATGGAGAAACAGGAATTGGAACTTCACGAATAACAAGACCTTTCCGTGTAACATGTGGCTTTCGAACCATTGAAGGAGAAAAGCTAGAAGATCTTTCAGGAGATTTTCGTGATCTATGAGCTTTCTTTTTAAGACGCTTGAATACACCAGTTTTCGAAGGAACAATTTCCTTTGAAGGTGTAGCAGTTTCAGGCTCAACATTTTTCTCTGACTTTTTCGAAACTTTAATCACTACTCCAACCTTCTTCTTGGGTGATTGATCAACCTTTTCTTCAGGAACATCAACATCTGTCTTTTTTTTTCAAGATTTCCTCGAAGAACCTTCATCACGTTTTTCCAACAACACACCAGTACCATCATTTGTGTTTATAGTGAGCAAATAAGCCTCCAATACTGCATTCGAAGGATCAACCTTCTTGAGCTTCCCATCAGGAATCCTAACAACTGTAGGAACAATACTCACATCATCTTCAATCGTCTTTGGATAATGATACTTCAAGAATTCTGCTTTAGCCTCATCAGCAGGCACCAAACTACTTTCCTTTTCATAAGCATATTGAAGAATTAGACTCCAATACCTTGCACATGAAACCCCATCTACTACATTCGTGTTTTCAATACTCTTCAAAAATTCTTTCCACATCTGAGTCGCATAGTCAACAGGTAGATCATAATAAATGTCTGCGACCATAGCATACACCTCCATGCATCCTTTGTCTAAACCAACACTTCGACCTGTGAGGCATCGAAGGTAAATCCCAAAAATAAAATTCCATATACTGAGAAGATCGGACTTCTTGAATTCACTGATCTTTAAGAGAGTAGGTTGATAACCCATCTCATTGAACATGTGTAACACTTGTTTATTAGTGACTTGTAGAAAGGTGGAGAATTAGGGATTTCAAGGATCTTGGAAAACAACTTCTTGGTAAGGCGAAACTTCTTATTAGTGATCAAATTGAAGGTGACAATATCCATCGTCTTGCTGTATGAAGCAGTAGAAGCAACCATGGACAACCAAGACATTGGTACTTCAAACGAACTTAACATCGCAGTCGATAAAACAGAATGTTTCAAAGCAACGATGAGCATCTTGAGTTCTTCAGGGTACACAGTAACATCACCATCCACTTGATAATTGGTACTCTGGATCTTCATGATGGGTTGAGAAGATGCATCATCAGTAGTGTTGGATTGAAGAGCAGCCATGATTAGGGTTTGTTTGAAAGTGGTGAAGAACAAAGAGATAAAGAGAGCACAGATCGTCTTGAGAATTTTTAGTATGCGTAAAATTGGAATGAAGACCCAATTTCCCCTTTTATATGTATCCCCATTTTGAATTTCAAACGGTTACCATCAATAAGCACAACACATGTCCCTTGAAAATTCCACCACGGTCTCATGATGTTAGATCATAAACACAGAATTTTGATATGTCTAGATCCTGATTGGTTTTTACCAGAGATCTCATGGACATATGTCATTGTGTGTGAATGTGTAAGAAGTTTGGGATAAAAAAGATTGTCTAAAAGAAACAAGTATACCTCTGCGTTGATTTGACCACGCAGTAAACTCTTAACTCATTTGAGAAGAGTAAGGTAGCTCAAGGACTAATGTGAAGATAGCGTGATTGGGAAGAAATTTTCGTGATGAAAACTTCATTACGGCT